TTAAAAGTTCAACGATAATTCTTCTGCCGCCGCGTAATTTAAAGAAAATTTGGTGTACGTAGGTCTGTAATTTCCGTACAAACACGTACTTTTATTTCATAGGTGACTCTTGCCGGATTTTGTAATTAATTTCGATTTTTTCCCAAATTACGTAAAAAAAAAAACTGCCGAAAACAATCGCAATAATGAAGACTTGGGACTAACGAATTTCATGATGAAACCTGGAATGTTTTTATTATTGGCCTGATACCAAAGTAATATAATAAGTTGGCCTCTAGGGGTAAAGTTGAAAAAATGTGACTCGGTGGCACACTGCCATTCACAATTTTTATATAGATAAATACGTAATCATTTAACCCCGAGAAAAAATAATAAAAGTCATCAGGATGGTATGGGTTATTGAGAATGAAAGAAATAGAGAGAAAAATGAATAGAGACGGAAAATGATAATTGACATTGCATTTAATTTTTGAAGACTGTAGTTGACAGTTCGACAAGCGAGAAGTACGGGAGCAGAAAACATTTGCATATAATTTACATAGAGCGATTTCAAAAGTTTAAGAAACCATGTTGCGCTTAAATTTATAAAGTAGATTTAACAACGAGGAATGATCGTTGGAATAATTACTGTGAAAATATTCACAGAAACAGCACAAGGGATCTACATTAAGGTGATATGAACGTAACTGAAGCCGAGATGCCAGTTCTAGACAATAAACATTGCAGATTCTTTTTGGGATCTCATTTTCTTTCGTAATATTGCACGATCTAGTCTAGTTTTTATTAATTTTAGTGTTTGAGAAAAATAAAGAGCAGAAATGCCTACTGATACACGTGTTCACACTAAAATAACATTTTTAGTAATAGTAATGATAATGATATATATATATATATATATATATATATATATATATATATATATATATATATTTCATTTGTTATTAATTTTAGTGTTTGAGAAAATAAAAAAGCAGAGATAACTACTAAAAATGTGTTCCCGCTAAAAATAAAATTTTTAGTAATAATAATAATATTATATATATATATATATATATATATATATATATATATATATATATATATATATATTCATTTGTTATTAATTTCTGTATTTGAGAAAATTAAAACATAGATACGTACTGAACATGTGATCGCTTTCAAAAATAACGTTTTATATTAGTAACAATATATATATACATATACATACATACATACATACATACATATATATATATATATATATATATATATATATATATATATGTGTGTGTGTGTGTGTGTGTGTGTGTGTGTGTGTTTATGTACGTATGTATATACAGATATTTGTAAAATGATTTCTTTTCTGTATCATAATTTGATTAACTTTAGTTCCAACATTTTGAAGAAGGTATTATTTCAGTAATTTTTTTTTAATTTTTAACTGTCGTGGCGAAGATGAAATTTCTAAAATCGCTTATAACTATAGTAATACTATGTTTTTTTAGCCTTCTAAACGTTTCAGGGACATTCTAGAAATTTTATCGATCCTTCTAGAACTTTTCGGAACCTTCTAGAACGTGTTTTCGATTATTTGCATGTTTGCATGTTATGCTATAGATATAAACTCTTAATTTCATTAAATTACATACGCACTATTCAATTACCTCATCAGCAAATTGAAAAAAAGTTTTTACAAGTTAGCAAATTTGTGTTCATTTAAAGTTGAATGCCTTGCTATATATATAAAAACTAATAAATGTGTTAGAAAATGCATAAGTACTATCCAATTACATTATTAGTTAATTAATAATTAAAGCTTCATAAATATTCTGATTTTTTAACCTTATTGCATATATATTAAGTACATGTTAAAATATTTTCAATTTAGGGGTGTCCTTTTTTAAGAACGCAAAAAAATTAATCCCTTTTTCACTACTTTTCAACAAAATTTCTTCGATTTATAATAGAGTAACTTTGCGTAACAAAAAAATTCATAACCCTAATATATATTGTGTGTCTGCGCGTGTGTAAATATATATACATAAAATTCTCCCCGTTTATCAGCATTTTTCTGTAATAGCTATATCATTATGTTAGAGCTATCTGCCTTCCTCTTGCGTTGTTAGGTGGCAGTGTCGTTCTTATGATAAGGGCTAACGGTTCGAGGATGATTACAATTCAACTCTATGAATGAGAATAAATCCATAAAATTATAGATATATTTAAATACTAAAATGTGAAAACCTAATATTCATTATGCAACGAATTTTAAATTATTTATAAGCCGTTATTTTTTATGACACCGATAAATTAATACAAGACAAAATTTTCAGATGCTCTCCTTTAAAGTCATGAAAACCTTTAACCATGAAAACTTTGGTGCATTATTTGAAAATGTGTATGTCGGAGACCATCTACGCATGCGCCTGTGTGTATTACATTGTGATATAAAAGATAATGTTTAGTATAATGAAAATATTTCACCTCAAAACGTACATTTTAAAAATAAACATCAATTACTTCTACTTCGATCTTTTGCTACGTGTAAATGTTGTTTTGTATTTGTTGGTTACAACGTCATCATCTCAAAATATGCATAACACGAACGCTCATATTATTATTATTATTATTATTATCGTTTTATTTATGGAACATGTTTAGTGCTCGTTAAAACAAACGCGACATTAAATATTCATTCGCAGTCAAATGTCTTCCAAACTGAGAAGATAATAAAATATATAATTAGTTTAACATCTGATTAATTGTTTCCTGTTTTTGTTTTATTCCAAAATAAAATTTCAGCTTGCTGCTACACAGAAAAGTCTTCTTCACTGTCACAGTTTATTGACAACCTTCATAATATTCCCGAATATTTTGAAAAATATACTTTAGGCAAGATAAAGTAAAACTGCTTATGTATGAGTGCATTTTACCATCGGTTATAATTTAATGAAAACATTAGCGATTATAACGCTCACGTGGCCTTGTACCAAACTAAGAATGGTAATGGTGTCTATATAAATGTATATGTGTAGCGACTTACATGTTTTCAGTTCTACGTTAATGAATATAAATTTATTTAGATAGGTACAGCCAATGCCGAGAAATGGTTAAAAAAATCTTATAAAGAGTAAGTAGCCCTGTACACAGTAGGGTCAAATTCACTGCGCAAATAACTACGCTTCTGAGACAAGTTAACCCAGGGCACGACTACACATACACACTTGTGTATAACGAAGAGGCAAACATATATCTATATACGAATCGACGTTGTTCATATTTATTAAAATATATATATATATATATATATATATATATATGGGGGGGTGAGAGAGAGAGCGAGAAAGAAAGGCGATTGGGTTTAAGCATGAAACATGGCTTACATGTATGCGTAAAAGTGCACAATATCAGGGAGAGAGATTATCTAAATATAATAGTAAATATACATTTAAATATTAATAGTAAATAATAGTAAATATAATAGTAAATACATGTAATAATGAATATAATTGTGCAGAATGATGACAATACTGAGTGGCGACAGACGTAATCTCCAGGCCATGTTTTCGTCATATATATATATATATATATATATATATATATATGAATTGTAGTCAAATACAGATCATATATAGATCAAAATACAACAGAATCATACGATAAAGATTAAATGGGAAACCATTATGAATCTAACATGTTTCAATTTTATTGAAGTTTCATCAAAGAATGAGGTATGGGGAAAAAAGAAGGAAGAACTTATGCTATTAATTATGTTTGTGTTGTTTGATTTTTTTTTTTTTGGTTAATCAGGTTTCACGTGGTTTTGACTTGTTAAACAACGTTAGTATAATTTAAGGATTACGGAATTCATGAAATTAATGAATACGAAGTATAAGTGAAAAAACGCAAATAATGTATTTTTTATGTAAGAGTATCATAATTCAAGTTTATCTATGTAGTATTCAGATGATCATTTACAAGTGGTATATATATATATATATATATATATATATATATATATATATATATATATATATATATATATATTTGTATATATATGTTGTGTATATATATATATATATATGTATGTATTATATATATTGCATATATATATATATATGTTTTATATATGAATGTATTTTTATATATATATATATATATATATATATATATATATATAGTGGACGCTCCCGTCGTATTTCACGTATGAGGGTCAGCAACTCAGTCATAAGTTCCCCCAAAGAACCTTCCACGGGTTTTGAATTCAGTGTTGTTCTTCTCCTAGACTAGTTGCCATTAAAGGCTATAGAACCCAGTCTGTTCTGCTAATTACCTATCACTGGAGGGAGATGAAGAGGATTCATAAGTTTCGCATGTTTGTTTTAGATAAACATCTGTTAGATTCTTTAATAATGGATTAAATAAAGGTTGGTAATATAAAATATTATTACTGACGTGTTGATAGTTGATAAAATATCAGTACGCCCTCAAAGTAATTTTCTTTTTTCATTAGGGTGGCCTTTGTAAAAGGTAAAATATTTGCCAATTTTGTTCATGTGTATTTACAAAATCAACACTCGGACTACCATCAAACATAACATATTTCGTCTGAACACTTAGCCTGGCAGTAAGAATAATTAGCAAGAGGCTTACGACGTTTCGTCTGTGAGAAAGGGGCTCTGGGATAGATTAATCACCCAAAGGAGCGGGGAGACGCTTTTGTACTCTATCAAGACTGGAAAGTGAAGACTGGTCAGCTCCTGTCCATATATGGCAGCAGTGCTCCATTTCTGGCCTGACCTGGCTCCCGTAAGATTAGAGGATAACAGGAGGATTTTGGTGCTTGCTGGTTCGTTTCATGGAACCGATCATTTTATCAGCATCTTTAGCGATGGATCGTATGTACGAAATCTACTTGAGGTCTGGGTAGAGTTTAAGGCCTAAGAGGCGCTCAAGTCATGTGGCCTTCCAGAAGTAATATTTATTCTTCATGATTGTTGGTAGTTCTTGACTTTGGGGCTTACAGTACCAATCACGTTCCCAAGGGGTCCCCCATCTAAGTACTGACCTGGCTCTACGATGCTTAACTTCGGTGATCGAACGAGAACCGGTGTTTCAGCGTGATTTGACCGTAAGACCAAAGTCCAACCCTTACCTCACAGTCGGTGGGGGGGTGTAAACGGTAGTGTCAGAGCTATGCCGCCCGGAACGTCGTTCCTGGTAGGGCCACCCAAGGCGGACAGGTCTGACACACACGCCGGCTAACAAGGGCTCTGGTGAAAATCCAAGGAGCGTCTGCATCGGCAACCGGCGGCTTCTGGTCATTCCTGTCTCTGCGTCTGTGGGAATCCCGCGGCAAGCAAGAACGTTATCCGAGTAGGCCTGGGTACCCTACTTCTGTAATTTATCCCAAGAATCTTCTTCTCATAACAGGAAGAAGCCGGCTCAATCCGCCCAGGGTGAATGCCGCATCAATACAAATAAAATAATGTTGGTAGTTCAGTGTCCGATTGGCAATGATTAAATGTAACTAGTTTCGTTTTCGAGGCATTGAATGTAACTAGCCATCTTTCTGCCAGTGAGATTCAAGACCTAGGACAAAGGAAGGATCAGCTTCCAGGCTCTTTTCATCTAGACTGTTGGAAGTGCAAACATATACCGTTGTGTCATCAGCATAGATATTTAGAAATGATCAGAGTATACTTTTAGGCAGGCCATTTATACAGAGGACGAAGAAAATCAACCCCTGGGGGATACTTGCATTGACTGCTAGGGACCCGTAAGACTAACCACTAACACCTATCCTCAGGTTAGGAAGTACTAAATTGTTCAGCACTCATATAATGTACGTCTTATTCGTCTTCCTTTTTTATCCGAATATCTAAATGAACTTAGGCAACGAGAGGCAATGGCAAATACATATTATTTTTATTGTTATAGTTTGTATTTATTTTTCCTGGTCAAATATTCCGACAAGGAACGTTTTATATAATAACTATGTTTAAAATTTCAGTTTCGTCATCTGAGGGACTTTTTAAATCCTTCAGATAACGAAAGTCGTTGGCTAAAATTAGTTTTCCTTTTATCTTTATTCAATATCTACTATGTTTATTTGGTACTGTACGCCACCTTAAGATAGGCCTAAGGATCTTTTATATATTTTGTGTGTATATACAAATGGACATACGTATATATATTTGAAATCTACATGGAGCGATATATACTTCCAACGGATAGACACAGAGGAAGTTGACATTTTACTTTTTGAGGTCAAATAAAACCGTAGAATAATATTTAAAATATCATTTTAAAAGCGTACAAGTCGTAAGTAAACTGAAAATTAATAAAACAATATTTATTTTCGGTTTGGAAAATTTTAATAAAGTATTTTTAAAGCGTAAATGTTAAAAACAATCTTTATATGAGATCATAAAATATCATACTGACGCATGAGAAAGGGGAAACTTAGAAATCAAATACTTTTTCCCGAATTATTATAAATAACAGTTACAATAAAATCTTCCAGCAAACTTGATTCAATGCAAAACTTTGTATATATATATATATATATATATATATATATATATATATATATATACTATATATATATATATATATATATATATATATGTATATATATATATATATATATATATATATATATATATATATATATATATATATATATATTCGAACTGTATAAAATGGAGGAACAAGTCATAAAACTGATAGTGACATCAAATATCAATAAAATATTTGATAAATCTGTTTGTTCGTGAAGATGCATTTATATAGTTAAGTTTAAATTTCGTGTACTGGTCCTATAAAATGACGTTTGGGTTTGTGCGTATCTACGATAACTTCCTTTAATTTCTTCACCAGCAGCCACTATCCGACAACTTCGACCATTATTTCAAACTTTGTCGTTTCAAATTTAATGTCTTAAAGACATTTACAATGGTTGCATTTGATCGTGGATTCTGCGATGAGAATGCAAGTAATAGAAATCCATTCAATGAAATGAGGAAATGCATTTCGAAAGGCGTCCATCTCCGGAATCAATTACTGCATTTGTTTCGCACGAGGTGGAGATTGTCTCCCTCTGCGACAATCTATATGTTCTGACGTCACCACATCTTCCATTTATAGACAAATGTAAGCGAGAAGTAATCGAAAACATTCCACGAACTCCGGCGATTGGCTTTAATGCTAATAAAATATTTTATGCGAAACTTTTATTTCTAATATGCTGCTTGAAATTTTCATTTCATTATGGCGCAAACCCCAAATTTATCTTGAGATATTTTAACTAACAAATACCAACCCTGGCAACCAATCATTGAATTTGCAGATTTGGTGTTGTTCCTATGAAACCACTTGCAAAATAACCGATAAAACGTTTACTACAAATTTTTCCCGGAGCTATAAATTTGGTCGTTTTGCTAAAAACAAGATCAGCTGTCTATACAAGACTTTTATTGGCAATATATTTGTGAAAGAATTGATAACAACATGCCACAGTACCAAAGCTGTTTTCGGTTTCTAAACCATTATCATTTCTATCTAAAATCTTTGGCATAAACAAACCATGATCGGAATGTTTTCTTTTGCCTTTCTTGCAATCTAGACTGCATGTCATGTCATAAAATCTCTGTAATTTTACTTTGAAAATGTTTATTTTATTTGAGAGAGAATGTAAAGTATCAGAATCTGTCATTATTGACCTGGATATTATGACAATGAAATTTATTTTTCTATGCATTGGGTAAAGTTCAAATAGAGGATGAGTATTTTCAGTGTTATATAACATAATCCATTTACACTCATCTTGCAAAAGAAAATATCTGATGATTTTTGTTGCAACATCTGCAGAAATTGTTAACGGAAAAATAGTGAAATAATGTCGATTCATTTTTCTGAATAGGATTTTGTTATACTACTACTACTACTAATACTACTACTACTACTACTACTAATAATAATAATAATAATAATAATAAAATAATAATAATAATATTAATAAATCAGTTTCAGAGTGAGTATAAAACATATAGACGCTATCAAGTTACCAAAACTACTAATTGGAATTTCCGTGGGAAACGAGTTTTTCAGCCAAAAAAGAAATGGTACACCCAGATTCCTTAAAAAGCCCCAAAGGAAAAATAAATACGTTTTAAAACAATATAAACTATATACATGTTAATTATTAATTAACATGAGAATTTGCTACAAAAATGCCTATATTTAGTGCCTTCTCTTATACGGGTACGATTATATCTAATCGGGTAATGAACCAGTGTTGGATTGTACTATAAAGATGACGATGATAATAATAATAATAATAATAATAATAATAATAATAATAATCAAATCTGAAGTAGTCCATTATTTTTTTTCCTTAATAATAATTTGAAGAAATTGAAGAAATATATATCTAAATCCAGCGGTAGATGTTCGAGTCCCGTTGCATTATTGACGCGGAAAGCGATTTCGACAAATCCGTTTTCAAAGTTTTTTTTTTTTTCCATTTTGTTCTTTTTGTACTAATGTCTTTAAAAACGATATGAATTCATTTCCTGTTCCTCATTTTATGGATAAATAAAATATTTGGGTAGACTGGGCTCTTTAGCCTTGGGTGGCAATCGGCCTAGAAGACGGATTACTCTGAATTCAAAACCATAGAGAAAACAGTAGCATGCCACTTCTATATCTTCCCTAAGATGTCATGTTAATTAAGGGGTAATAAATAAAAGGAAATCTATGGAGAGCCATAATCGCTTTCACATTGAAGAGCAATGGCATTAAAATATATCATGTCAATCATTACATTAGATGTTTACATTTTATTTTTCTTACTTTTTATAATACTAATAATGAACTTCGTTTCCGAATTAGTATTCTTTAAATCAGCAACGCATTTGATGGGAAATAAAGAGTAAATTATATATCTGGCGAAAGTGAAAATGGATATATAGTGATTTTTTCTTCTAAAGTAACCGATCAAAATATGAAACCAGTTAGCACGAATGTTACTGTTGTCCTCTAGGACGATTCTCTATATTTTATAGTTAGACACGAAACCCTTAAGCTTTACATTTCGAAATGTAACCGAATCTAATATTAAAAATGGATATTTTTCACTTCCATGGTACAGGGTTTAACATACGGTATTTACTCTGCCCCCCCCCCACTAGGACGAGATTTGACACAAGGTCTATTACAGAGTTTAACATACGATATTTAATCTGTCCCTTCTACAGGACGAGATTTGACACAAGGTATATTACAGGGTTTAACATACGTTTTGTTACAGGGGCGTTGCAAATATTTGATCATTTCGGAATCACGGATATGCGTGAATCCTGATTTGTGCTGATAATGTTATAAATTTTAACTGATTTTTTTTTTCTGCTCGCCTTTTTTATATTTAAATAAAACTCCAATCTCTGAATTCAATAACCAGACTGATTAATATAGGATGTTTCTCGATATAGTTGTGGTGGTCTTGGTGAAAGGAGAAGAAAAGTCGAATTTCCCTTCCTCCCCATTACAGCTAAAGAAAAATAATGTACAAATGAGTTTCAGTTAGAATTTTTGTATCATTGAAATATCTAAGCAAAAATCATCCAACTGTCATTAGATGCTGTTTATCGAATATTTTTTTGTTTTTAAACATTTTTCTTTCTTATAAATATTTCTTACCATAGCCTTCTTTTTTTCTTCTTCATTGTTTCTTGTTTCGTTTATAATCGCACTTTTAAGTCATTTTTTGGATACACTATTTTTTCTGTCTTTTCTTTCACGTTTCCATATTTACTCTTTGCTTTTTGCATCTTTTTCTGCTTTATTTTCCTGTAAAATCATAGTTCTTTCCATCTTTTGCTCCTCTTATATCATCTTTAAATTATTATTATTATTACAATTATTATTATTATTATTATTATTATTATTATTATTATTATTATTAAATCTTCTGCCCACATTCTTTAACCAGAGCCTTCCAGGGACTGTTTTTTTTTTTACTTAAAGTGTTAAATATGTGATGAAACGTATTTCCGTATATTTTGGGGTGATAGTATTGTGTTCAAATTTTATGTAGAAGTTTTAAAATGAAGACTGCTTTGTCAAATAAATA